ATCAGATCTATTTATTCCTTGTTTCCTAAAAGGCACCCAAGAATCTCAGGACTCAAAGTCAGCACTGATTTCTCAGCCTCCTTTTCTCCAATCTGCCCTGAGCAGCCCCTACTTGCTTTTGCTCAGTCTATCTAAGGCCTGGTCTAATTAAAGTGCTTAATTAATAGATCATCTGGCATATTTGTTTAATCCTTTTATAACCCATTTTGTCTTCCAGGGACACTGGAGAAGGTGCCCGAGAGAAAAGAGGAGATAGAAAAGAGCTAACAGGGGCTGGGAAGGTGGCTCAGTGGTAGATTGCTTGCCTTGCATGCATGAGGCCCTGGGTTCTATTCTCACCACCACATAAGCAAAAAGAAAAAAGCCAGAAGTGGTGCTGTGGCTCAAGTGGTAGAGTGCTAGCCTTGAGCTGAAGAGCTGAGGGACAGCACCCAGGCCCAGAGTTCAGGCCCCATGACAGGACCCAAAAGAAAAGAAAAGAGCTAACAGCTATACTCTGCCAAGTCTCCCTGGCCCTCTAGCCCCCCAAACCAGGGCAACCTTGAATTTCAGCAGGGCTGAGGTAAGGCGGGATGAAGGAACCTAGCTGACAGAAGGCAGTGGAGATACAAGAGTCCTGGGTCTTCAGATTAGTCTGTGGCCAGTTTCTGCCAGCAATGGGGCTTGAACCCAGGGCCAGGGCTAGGGCCCAGACTTTCTGAGCACCTGTCCAGGTCTCTTTCCTCTCCACCAGCTATTTTGGCAGCAGTCAGATTTCTGCTCTTGCAAAGCCCTTCTTCCCTAGAGCCTGCCTGGCGGAATGGAATGAGATTGACAGTGGATATCCAGAAATCACCACATGCCAGGCCAGACCAAACACACACACACACACACAATTACCACATGGATTGATAGTAGTACCTACTACCTCAGAGTTTGGGGGGAAAAGTGACCCTTCTGTACGCTGGCACACCTGGACTCCTAGCCAAGGGGGGAGGCGGGGAGTGAAGCCATGTACCAGTGGCTCATGCTACTAATCTTAGCTACTCAGGAGGCTAAGATCTAAATATCAAGCCTGGACAGGAAAGTCTGTAAGAATCTTATCCTCTTATCCTCCAGTAAATCACCAAAAAAGCCAGAAGTAGAATTGTGGCTCAAGTGGTAGATCAGTATCCTTGAGCAAAGCTCAGGAACAGCACCAGGCCCTGAGTTCAAGCATGCAGGCGTGTGCCCACATGTGCATGCGTGCACACATGTGCACACATGCACGCGTGCGGGCACGCACGTGCACTGCACACACACACACATACACACTGTTCCTTAGGGAAGGATAGCATTTGATCTCCAGACTAAAAACATCCACCTAGTCCGAGTCTCTGCAGCTTTGCTGTCCTATATATAGTAGGTTCTCAATAATTTGTTAGTTTAAAAAAAGTAGCTATGGACCAGGTGCCAGTGGCTCATATCTCTAATTCTAGATACTCAGGAGGTTGAGACCTGGAGGATCTCAATTTGAAGCCAGCTGGGGCAGAAATGTCTACAAGACTCCATCTCCAATTAACTAGTGAAATGCCAGACCAGAGAGACCAGAGTTGTGACTCCAGTGGTAGAATACCAACTATGAGCAAGAAAGCCCTGGGAGAATATGGAGGAACTCTGAGTTTAAACCTCCAGTACTAACACAAATTTAAAAAAAAAAGGAAGACACAAGAAAATAAAAAATATATAAAAAAGAACCAGTGTCTCACACCTGTAATCCTAGCTACTTAGCAGGCTGAGATCTGAGGATCATAGTTTAAAGCCAGCCTTGTTAGGGAAGTCAATGAGACTTATCTCCAATAAACTACTCAAAAAAAGAAAAAAATCGAGAAGTGGAGCTGTGGCTCAAGTGGTAGAGCAGCTCTAGCAAAAAGTTCAGGGACATTGTCCAGCCCCTGAGTTCAAGCCCCATGACCAAAAACAAAACAAGCAAAAAACCTACTCAGGATGACACCCATTTCCAGCTTTTTGAGGGTTTATTGGAGAGAGAAGAGTTTTCTGCTGGGCTGGCTTGGATCCTTCGGCTCACACTGCTTGGATAAACTCTTGATGGGCGGGGATATTGCCATTTTCCCCCCTCTATATTTTCAATAGTGATTACTGTAGTGTGATAAAGGTCGAGGCATGGCTCAGCAGTAGTGTACCTTTAGCAAGGAAGAAGCCCTAAGGCCTTAAGTGTCAGCACTGCAAAAAAATCAGAAAAGATTGTTAAGTGTGTTGGAGAGGTGAGCTCAGTGGTAATGCTAGTGCTTAACAGCTCTGATTTCCACCGCCAAAGAAAGAAAAAAAGGAAAACAACAACACAGCAACAAAACCCACAAAAGCGTGTGGAAGGAAAGGTTGACTGAATGAAAGGTCTTTTCTTTCTATTTTCTAGCTTCCCTTCTGCCTGGAGGTAGTCAAGGCAGATAAATGTCACTCAGGACTGGCCCCAGGGCAACAAAACTAGTTTGTGTTGGAAGGAAATTGAAGATGTAGCATTTATATTGGAGATTTGTTCTCAATTTCCTATCAGACTGTGAGCTTCTTGTATAGGAGTCAGGAGCTTGTCTTTTGTTTCCAAAGCTCAACTCTAAGGTTTGGTACTACCCTCTAAAGATGCCCAGGAGGTAGGAAAAACCACAGCTAAAGGTTTGATTGAGCTCCAAGGAACAATTTCTCATCTTAAGACTGCTCTTGGAGATAGGCTTGTGAGTGGGATGCAAATAGATGAATAATATCGATCGATCGATTGATAGATATAGATATAGGTATAGTACAGTATATATACCTATGTCTATATCTATTCTATCTATCCCTTGATCTTTGAAGGAAAACTTTTTTTTTTTCTACAGAAGGGAAAAGTCAACCTCTCTAGGACTGGATAAAGGAGCACTTTCAAGTTGTAAAGAACCAGAAGTCTTTAGTCAGAACAATTTTAATCTTGTCAAATCCAGATCCCTTTTGTCTATCCCCCTTACAGTTTTCTTTCTTTACACCTTTCTTCTTATTACATTTCTCTTTTCATTGTTTTTTAAAGGCAATCCTTTTCTAGATGGGAGCAGGACAAGGAAGACTTGGCTGTTCCTTACTGAAAAGCAAAAAGGCATTAAAAAAAATCTCAATTTTCTTTCTTCTTTTAATTCTCCCCTCTCCCTCAAGAGAAAACAGAAATAATTGATCCATCATCCTGTACCAAGCCCAGGAGATTTACATGCAAATTCCCCCCTCTACCCCAGACCCCTCACCCAACTTAAAATCCTAGAGGTGAGGGGGAAGGGGAGAAAATTTCTAAGCCAGCCACAGATGCTGAACATCTCCCACCCCACAGGTGAGAGATGGAAAGGGCGGATGTTTTGCCACAGCCTCCCAGCCTCTTTCCCCACCACACACCACCCCTTTCGGTGTGGAATCACTTAAGGTTCGGGCAAAATACCCGCTTTCTCCCAGGAGACAGTATCTGGAAGCGTTTAGAAGGCCGGGAAGGGATGGGGAGGGAGGAGGAAAATTCCCCCAAACGTTCAAGCAGGCGTAAGAGAGTCTTTTCTTTACTCAAAACTTTTTTTTTTTTACCCATCGCCCCCACCCCCATTAACTTTCGATTAAGACCTCTCCTTAGTGGCCACTAAACTTTACTTTGCATAATTAAGATTTGTTTCAGAATTTGGAGGAGTTTGAAAGCAAAGCTTCGGCCCTTCTTCATCTTGCTCCCTCCCCGTCCCTCCCACCTCCCCCCCCTGCCCAACTCTCCAGCTCTCGGCCTCTGGGTTCCTGAGTTTTCTCACTTTGAGGTGCCACCGAACACAAAGAACCATAATGGGCTCCTTTGTGCTCGCAACTGGGCAATTACGCCCCAGAATCCGGGCCCCTTTAAGAGCCTCTTAAAGAGACAGGCTCTGATTTTTCAGAGGGTTACTTGAGGGTAGGTGTAGGGGGAGGGGCGAGGCACACGCGGGGGGGGGGGAGTGTGTGTGTGTGAGTGTGTGTGTGTGCGCGCGCGCGCGCGCGCGCTACAAAGTAAAACTTTTGTCTGGGCTCCGTGAGAAGGGGCTGAAATAAAAATATTTATATATTGCGAATTTTGTCTTTAAAAGTAAAACAAATTTTTTTTTACTTCAGTTTTTTACTTGATTGGAAAAATTAGCCTGAAATAGGTGGCGTTCGAGGAGCAGGGGCGGGGGCAAAGATTTAAAGAGCCCCTAGACTACAAAGAACCTGGACTGCGGGAAGAAGACTAAGTCAGGCTTGAGTATTCTGGGTCGTCCACAGCTCGGTGGAACCTGTGTCTCCGGATCTCGCCGCCGCAACTTCAGAGAAATCCCCGGGCGATTCCCGGGGAAATCTCGGACTGGGCAAACAGATCCTAATATAATGATAGCTTGTCTCTTTAAAAAGCGAAGGGGGCGGGGAGGAAAGTTTTGTTGGCGTCTGGTGTCGGGCCTCATTATGTTGTGGTTGACCAATCCAACCTTCGGGGCTGGTCCTCGGGTTTAAATCTGATTGGCTGAGAGCACATTTTGGGATGGTGCTTAGAGCTCGACGGGGCGGTTTCAAGGATCCCTTTTTTGGGGGGCTGAGGAGAGGGCGGGGCCGCCAGCGGGGGCCCCCTTGAAACCGACTAATTGGGATCGGAGTGGCCGAGGTGAGGGCTGGTGGAGGCACAAAGGAGTCGCTGGGTGGAGGAGGGAGGGGACCGGGGGAGCCTGGAGGCTGGTGGAGGAGGAAGAGGAGCGAGGGCAGCGGCTCCCGGTGACTCCCGCGGCTCAGTCGGACTGCGGCGAGCTAGAGGGCGGACGCGCCGCCCCCTCCCCCGCCCGGCCTCCCCCAAAACTCTGCGGCCGCTCACAAAGTTTGCACAGGGGCGCGGGAGGCGGCGGCCGCAGCCAGGCGACAGCGGA